CAACTTGAAATGCTCCCAAAAATGGCTCCACAGCATGTAAACATATAATATAAGCTCTGGCGGACTTGGTTCTATGGTAGGTCTTAAAGGGTTAAGGAGCTGATGGACTCAACCAGTTCTTCAACGGATTTGACTACATGGTCACACCCAGTCCCGCTGCTTCTCTGTTCACTGAAACTATGTCTTCTCCTCCTCCTTGCATTTCTAATATGGATCAGGTACTTCCCTCTCACACCTGTGCCTCTTTTACGTCACAGAGGCACGGGTGAGACTGGAGCTGGGAAGCCTAAGCTCTGGGAAGGCTGATGGCCCAGAGGGTGTGTTCAAAGCTGCTTGAGGACTGTGCTTCCCCCTCTAACTGTGTCTACTTCTCAACAGGATCTTCAATCTGACTCAACACTGTGGAAGCATCCTGTGTTCTGCCGGTGCCAGTGTCCGCTTGAACTGAACGACGACAGATCAGTGGCCCTTACATGGCACATCATGAAATCCTTCCTCATCTGGGGGCATTCGGAGCTGATGTGAGAGTTATGTTCTTTGATTTTAGTGCTTTTAATACCATCCAACTAAATATGCTCAAAAACAAGCACACAGACACAAGACTGTATTCCTCTGTTTCCTGGATTACAGATTAGCTGACAGGAAAGCCATAGTTTGTCAGGTTGGCTAACTGTGTTCCACCCACTAAACCCTTTGGTTTTTAATCCTCATACAAAGAGCAGATGAGCTATGTCAGACAAAATTCGAGCAGTGAGAAGTAATCTACTGGCTGACATCCAGCCCATCATTAATCACAAACCCCAAAATGCCCAGACTGGATCAAGGAAGCGCTTTCAGCTTTTCTAATGCATGCACTTTGTGATAGCCAGTTATGGACAGCAGCTATAATATCCTGGATCAGCCATTGTTCACTACTATTTTGCTGTGTCACCACATTTTAAATATTCTCCGATGCTTTAACCCCAATCATAACTAACCACTCATAAAATGACCTTTAAAACATTGTTTTCCATTTCTGCAAACGCCACATGTTTGGATGGGCTGAGATGTTTTGACTGAAATCAGTTCAAGTGAAGCCTTTCATGTCACGTCGTAATTCCAGTTAAAAACAGAAGTTAGACCACAAAAAGGCAAAAATAAAGAAATTAAATCAATTCCTCCTTATTTTTGCCAGAAGTTTGCAAATTTGGCTTCTATTTAACATCAGCTTCAAACTGACTTCAGTGACCTCCACATTTATGTTTTATGTTTTGTTTACGTGGACACAGACAGTGAGCAGTATGTTCTCAAAGG